CCAATGGTTTTCGTAAGAATTTGCAAGAGCGCGAGCGCGCGTTTTTTTTATTGATGTTTCGATACCATGTGTGTTTCTACATGCGTTAGACACTCGGTTTCGAAATCGCTACGAAACCTCTGGTTCTTGACGGATTCCGGCACGCACGCGAGACGACGCGCGCGCATTTCGTTTGATGTGTTGCGAAGGATTCTCGCGACGGCACGCGCGCAAGGGCGTTCGAACGGTTCCGGCATGAGCGCGCGAAGCCCGTTTGATAGCATTTGCTGGAAACGATGAAAACCTTAAGGTTTTTGCAAGAATCTCAAGAGTGCGCGCGCGCAAGTTGTTGTTTTGAGAATCCGCATCGCGCGACCCTGTGTTCTTACATGTGTCTTGGACACTCGATTTTGAAATCCTCACGGAGCCGAATGTGTTTGAAGGATTTCGGCATGCGCGCGCGCGATGACGCGCACGCGTGCACTTTGTCAGATTTGCTGCATGGGTTGGAACGGATGATTAAACGGATGATTTGTGATACACGAGTGCGCGAGCATAGTTGTTGTTGTTGCGGAGGATGGCGGGGGAGGGTGGGGGGGGAACCAGCTCGGTTGAGGTGGCACGAGTTCATATTTAGGATGGACGATGGGGCAGGATCATATGTAAATTGCACACCCCCTGGGGGTACCGACAATAACCCCAGTCACGGGAGGGTGGTGAAGGAAGGTTTTGAGAGGAGATCGACGTGCGCGCGCGGCACACGCGCGAGAGTGGCCCGCATTGTTTTCTTGACGCGGATCGTGCCACCCCAGCACGCGCGCAAGAGCGTTCGAACGATTTCGACATGCGCGCGCGAAGCCTGTTTGGTAACATGTTATGACATGTTGAAAACCTATGGCTTTTTTGGATTCGCACGAGCGCGCGCGCAAGCTGTTTTTGAACGTCGGTGTTGCAAAACTCAGTGCTTTTATATGTTATTGGGACACTTGATTCTGAAATCCTTACGAAACCGAGAGTTGTTGAAGGATTTCGGCATGCACGCGCGACGACGCGCGCGTGCGCACTGCGACCCATGTTTTGCGAAGGATTCTTGGAAACTGATGTTTTTTGGTAAACGAGCAAGCGCGCATTGTATTTTTGTGCACCGGATGGCGGGGGGGGGCGATACTTGTTGGGCTGGGATGGTACGAGTTCATATTAAGGATGTACGACGGGCAGCACCTTGTGCTACAATGGAAAATTAATGTTGAAAAACGCAGAGTTATCAACCACATTGCACGCGCAAACACCCCACCCACCCACCCGCATGTTTTTAAAACCAATGCGACGGCGATTGCGATGGTTGGTTTGCGCTGGCTGGTGAATCGTTGCGGTCGCACTAGCCCCCGCATGCTCGCGCGCACAGCAGCAAGGTAGTTTGGCGCGACCGACGCGGGTGCGGTGGCGCTAACCGCTGGAGGGCGGTTCGGCCATGAGTGGGCGAAGGCCTGGTTGCCCCTCCCGGCTAATTGGTCGGTCGGGGGGTGGAGGGAGGTAGCATTCAAGCCAAGTGAGTCTGCGGGGAGGACCAGCGCAGCGACTGAGAGGGGGCAGGACGGACAGAACAAGCGAAGCCGAGAGGCGGCGCAGGGGATCGACAGGGGACACGCCCGACACAGGAGAGCAGGGAGGACGAAGCGGAGATGTCAGCCGTGCGGTTTACCTCTCTTGCTGCCGCTGCCTCTCTTCCGTCTCAGCCTCCTTCAAGACGGTGCACTGCAGCGACAGAACTTCGCATTCTCCTCCATCACCATCCTTCTCGTCCTCGACCTTGTCCTCGTCGTCGTGGCCATCAGCATCATCACCATCATTATCATCATAGTCATCAGCAGCATCGGCGTCATCATCACAAGTACCATCACTATCATCATCAACAGCAGCACCATAGTCATCATCATCACCATCATAAGCATCATCATAATAATCCTTGCCATCATCATCATCGTCGTCATCGTCGTCATCGTCATCGTCATCCCTCCTCCTCCTCCTCCTCGTTCTCCTCTTGCCTCGGCCCCTAGCTTTGAGCCACGTGGTTGGCCGAACCTAGAATCAATTTAGTAGAGTCCTTCTCTCTCCTCCCCTCTCCTCTTTCACCCCCACCCTTCCTCTGCCTCCTCCTCCAAATCCCCCTCCTCCCCCCCCGGACATCCGATGTGTCGACATCTCCTCCGCCCGGGCTCTTTGGAAGTCCCGACCGTCTCCCCAGGGCCCCGGTTCCTCATCCCGAGTCGTCTTTCGACGGCCCCGGGGCCCAGCGCTTGGCATCGCTCGGACGTGTGCATTTTTCCTTCGGCGAGGACCATCGAGGAGCATCCTTGAGCATTTGGCGAAAAAAACACGCACAAAAACCGAAGAAAGCACAGGGAAGGGACGTCCGAGTGATGGCCAGAGCGAGGGCCCGCAGGGGCCCGGAAACGGCCACAGAGGGTCCGCTTCGACATTGTCCCACGGCGCGAGCCTGTCTGGGTCCTCCGCCGCTCCTCCGCCGATCGCGCCTCGCCCCGCCGCGCGGCCGACGACCCCCCCGGCAGGTCACTCTCAGAGAGAGCCCGCAGGCGGCGGCGCCGCGCGCCCGGGCCCAGCAGCGCTCGCCCGCGCAGCCAAGGAGGAGGAGGAGGAGGAGGAGGAGGAGGAGGAGGAGGAGGAGGAGGAGGAGGAGGGAGGAGGAGGAGGAGGAGGAGGAGGGAGGAGAGGAGGAGGGGAGGAGTGGGAGGGGGGGAGGGGGAGGAGGAGGACAAGCTAGGTGCGCTCGCGTCACATCTGACATCCTACCCCTCCCTCCCACCCCTTACCATGGCGCAGATCCCTTCTCTACTCGCACAGTCGGATGTCGAGCAGGGCACTGATCCCGAAAGGGTACGCGATGCATTGTAGAGCACGGCATGAGCAGGGCAGCGAGGAGCCGAGAGGCTTGAAAGAGGCCTCCAAGTGCCCCCCCCCCTCTCCCAAAGGGGGGCTCCAAGAGGCTTCTGGCCCATCGCTCCGGAACAAGTGGCGGGAATGGGCCGAGGGCCAGCAGGCCTTTGGAAGCATCTGCCGTGGGGCCACGGCTGCTCTTCATTCGCGACGCATCTGGGGATGAGGCCAGCTGAGGCTGGCGGCACATGATGACCGAGTTTGTGGCGCCCAAGCAAGCTCCCAGATCTGCGACGAATTGTTGTTTCAATCTGGGAGTTGTTTCTGGACTGCGACGTCGCAACCAGACCTGGCGACCGCGAAGCGCGCTCTTTCAGTGTTTACAGTTACTGCTTGATGCTTCCACTGCACGAGGCCCACGCGTAAGTATGAGGGTGTGCCGCATCTCGGCTCCCCGGGAGCGGGAGGGGGGATGCGATGGGCAGGGCAGGGAGTGCCAATGAACGGGAGGAGAAGGCGGGGAGGGGAATGCAGCGGACTGGACGAGACGGGACGGGGAGACGCGAGGAGAGTTGAGGGAAGCGCGGGGAGGGGGGGATTGAGGGGTGGGAGGGGAGCCTGGCCGTGGAGACGTGGCTGGGGGGCGCCATGCCCCCCCCCCAGGCTTCCGCGAGCCTGGAGCTGGCGAAGAAGCTCATCTGCAGAGGGAGACCAGAGGGTGGCGGGGGAGGGAGGAGGGAGGCGACGGGCGGGGAGGCGGAGGGCGAGAAGGGGGGGTTGGTCCATTGGAGGAAGGCGTCGGGAGGAGTGGGAGGGGAGACAGAGGGCTCCTCTTGATCGTGAATGTATTCTCTGAATCGTGAAAGTGTGAAGTTTACGCAGTGTCATAGCGTAGTGTTGACATCTCGTGGGGGAGACAAGATGGGAGGATGAGGGTGAGCAGCAGCAGGACCCAGCTGCCCCAGACCAGGGCTGGTGACTGAAGGATTGCCTGGATTCCTGTGCAGCTGATTGGGCGTGAGTTGCCCCGTGCAGTGATCGGCGCCTGAGTTCACAGTTTGAGCCGAAATGCGCAGAGGGCATCCAGAGCATGCCCTTACTTGACACTGCGTCCGACCGACTGAGAACTGCCGCTCACATATGGTGTGTTGGAGCGATGGGCAAAAGTTGTGCGGAATATGGCCTTGAGCACGGCAAAAGGTCAGGGACCCAGAGCATGCTGTTCGTGTGTGCATAACACGGTGGTGTTAAGATGGGAAGTTCGTTTGCGCGACGTGTTGTTATTATTACTGCCATAAGAGTTACTTGCTGGCACTGCACCACCGCTACGACTGTCGCTACGACCACCACCCCAATGCTACAACTGCTACGTTCACCACCGATGGCACTGCTACAACTCTTGGTTTTGGGTGTAGTTCTCATGAGATGCGACGTAACAGCAGCATTCCCTGCCAGGAGTGCGGCAGGCGCGAAGGCAGGAATTCCAAGCCGAGTTGGGAAGATAGCCCGCGCTGGTGCGGGAGCACCATTCCCAGGAGTGTGGCGGGCACTCAAGCGAGAGAACCTTTCCCGCGTCCAGAGTGTGTTGCCGCTCTGAGGCGACAGCCAGAGTTGAGATAAGAACAGCATTCAAGCGCCAGTGTTTGCAATGTGTTTTGATGAGTTGGAAAAAGCGCCCAAGTGTAGCAATGTGTGTGACAAGTCGTGGACGGAGTGGGACCGGGCGGGAAAACCAGTTGGGGGCCCAAGAGATGATAGAAACCAAGCAGCATCACATCAAGTGAGCACGATATTTGGAGATGTTGCAGCTGTACGGGCAAGGTGTGCAGAGGTTACACACGACACCCGTGTGTTATGTTGGTGGTGAGCGTGTGCCATTTTTTATGATAGGCAGTGGTCTCTGCCTGTGCTAGTAGTGGGGGATGGCTTTTGTTGGATCATGGGAGCATGCATAGATTGCCCAATACGGCATCAAGCCAATTACACCATGCAGAGATTCGCCTCGACTCGGGAATGGCATGGCTCGATTTGCCGCGCATTCAACGTTCTAAGGAGCATAGCGATCACAGACGCGTTCGACATAGGCGCTTCCAAGGCCATCAGGAAGCTGGAGGCCTGGTTCGGAGATGAAGGAGCATGAAGTTAGGCAGAGTTTCGGAAGTTTGCCACTGGTAGCGGTTGGGCCACCATGTCTTCGCTCCGGTGACGCGGACGTTGTAACATGGATGGAGTGTGATAGATGTGGTGCGCTCAGTTGATGTCTGGGACGCAGGACCGTGTTTGGGGATGCGACGAGCGTGGGGGATCGACGATCGAGGGGGCGAGTGGGGGGAGGGTCGTGGAAGAGAGAGAGGGGAGGTGAGGGGAGGGGGGAGGAGGAGGGAAAGGGCAGGAGAGGCTCGAGGATCGAGGAGGGGGCAGAGGAGGAAGGAGGAGGGGGAGAGCGCGTGCTATCTGATGCGTGGCCGCGTGCCCAAATCAGCCAGGGCGAGGAGGCCGGGCATGCAGATATGCAAAGGAGGGGACACGGTGTGCGGGTGTGTGGGGAACGGGCAGCGCTCCGTCTTCGGGGAGTGGCCGGCGTCCCGCCGGGCGGAGTAGGGGGAGGGGCCAGTTACAGCAGCAGGGTCCGTGGAGGGCAAGGGAGGGATCGGCGGCCTACCCCCCCCCGCCCCCCCGCACAGGAGCGGGACGGAGTGGAAGCCCCTTAGGGGAGTTCGGGTTCGGATGCGGAACGAGAGTGCGAAGCAATATCGAATGAACTACTTGGGGATAAGCCCGCGCTCGGCGCGGCTCAAATACTCCCTGCGCTTGGCTGTCATGTGGGCGGGGTCGCACGGCTGTGCGATGAGGTTCCTCAATGAAGAGTCCGCCGCGGAGGGCAGGGGAGGAGAGGCAAAGAGAGGAGGGCGGTGTCAGACCTGTGCCCCCCGCCAGGGGGGAGTGAAGCGGACGGTGGGCGAGTCAAGGGGAGGCAGGCGGTGGATGGGGAGTGGAGGCGGGCGGCGTTTTGGCCCCATCTTTCTTTTCCTCCTCCTCCTCCTCCTCCTCCTCCTCATCATCATCATCATCCTCATCCTCTTCCTCTTCCTCTTCCTCCTCCTCCTCATCATCATCATCATCCTCCCCCACCCCCTCCTCCTTCTCCTCCCTCTCCTCCCCCCCTCTATCCTCCTTGCTCCTCCCCCCCTCTCTTCCCGCCCTCCCTCCCACGAGCCTCCCTCGCTGTTTAAGGTCGTTGAGCGACACACAGGTCCTTTTCTCGCGCTCTGGGCTCGGCGCGGGTTTCTGCGCAGGCGGTTGCGACGAGATATGACTGTTGCGTCGCCCGTTCCTCTTATTTCCCGTCTGGGCCAGGGGCGCACCTATCCACAGGCTTTTTACCCAACAGAGCTCGGCCCGCCGCAAATGCCTGCGTTGCATCAACCCTCCCCCCCTCTCTCCCTACGGTAAGTTCGCGTCGTGTCGACCAGCGGCGATCCCGCCACCGGCGTTCAAGGTTGAACGCCGCCAGCGGCCCAGAATCGGTCGATGTTTCACGAGCTGACGTTGCAGAGCCGGCCGGTCGCTCAAGGCTGAACGAGCCCCGCGGCGTCAGAAACCCACACCGAGGTCGGCACGACACGAACCTGTCGCGCCAGCTCTCCGCAGCGAGCCGAGTGCAGAAATCATCTCGCAGTTGTGCGTGCAGCTGATCGTCCTCCTCCTCACCCTCCTCCTCCATTCCTTGTCCTTATAAGTAACTTCTCCCTGCCGCACCCCGAGGACAGTTTTAGGGCGGACTGGGCGTTTCGCCTGAGACTCCCTCACCTTTTAAGACCCTGAAGCTTCAAAATTGGCGACAGTTTCACAGATGGAGGGCGGGTGGTTTTCAAAATGTGGCTCTCGCCTTAGCGCCGAGCACATTCGTTTTAACAAATTGGAAGAGCTTCACGGATTAAGGGCGGTTCCTTTTCAAAATGCGGTTCTCGTCTTAGCGCCGCGCACAGCGCCGCGTACATTCGTTTTACAAGTTTGCAAAAGCTTCACGGATTGAGGGTGGTTCTTTTTCGAATACGGATTCCCAGGATAAACGTACCAGACATGGTGTTTCGAAAAAATAGCATCATGTGGGTGCAACAGTTACGTATGTTCGCGGTGTTGAAGTCCCAGGAATGGCTTTCTGGCACGATCCAGGCTCGTCAAGTCGCAACAATCAGGTTGATCCGTTACGTTGAAATCCCGAGAACAATGTTTGTAGGAGCTTATTCAGAAGGGGCTTGGAGGGAGGGTTGTTTCCTACATCGTCGATGACTCTTGGGTTTACACTGGTCCTCCTCCTCCTCCTCTTCCTCCTCCTCCTCCTCCTCCTCTCCTCCTCCTCTCCTCCTCCTCCTCCTCCTCCTCCTCCTACTCCTCCTCCCCTTCCCCCTCCCGCTCCCTCTCCCCCTCCCCCTCCACCTCCCCCCCCTCCAACTCCCCCCTCCTCCTCCCTCCTCTTCCTCCTCCCCTCTCCTCCTCTTCTCCTCCTCCTCCTCCTCCTCCTCCTCCTCCTCCTCCTCCTCCTCCTCCTCCTCCTCCTCCTCCTCCTTGGGTTGTCCTGGGCCGGGCCGTCGGAGGAGCTGCTCGCGGTCTGGGGCGTGGCGGATTGGCCGTGCTGGTCGCAGCAGGCCCACCCGGGGGAGCAGCGGGAGGCGCACGCCGTGGCCGTCCAGCAGCAGCTCGAGCGCCAGGTCCAGGCGAGGGCGCCCATGACCACCCAGGCCCCCTTTGCTCTCCCTGTGCGAGGGCCCGGCGGGGGATCCCGCGGCAGTCCTCCAGGGCGAGTGCCGCGGGGATGTGCCGGCCGCTGGCTGGCTGGTCTCTCAGGAGGGGAAAAAACACACAGACACAATTAATCGTCGATTCCCAGAAAATATTAGAAAATATGGGAAGTGGGGGGGAAGACAGAAACCCAGAAAATATAGGAAAACATGGGGAATCTTTCTATTTGTGTGTATTTTTGTGTGTCCTGGGGCCCCTGTAGTCTCTTGGTCCTGGGGCAGGTGGGCGGGAGCCGGTCGCGGAGCGCCGTGCCGTGCTGCGTGCTCTGCGGCGCGCGCCAGCGCAGCCGTGCCTTGTTCCTTGCGTGCAGCAGCTGCCCGGGGACGGCGGAGGGCCGGGCCGCTTTCTGGGCGGCGCGGGCGCAGCCGCGGCCGGACTCCCAGGAGGCTTGCGCGCGGGCGCTGCTGTCTGCCAGGCCGGGGGAGGCAGGGTATGTCGAGTCGGTCTCCGTCGCGGCAGGTGTAGATAGGCTGTAGGGGCGGTTCTGGGTTGGACGAGACTGAGCGCGTGCAGGAAAAGCCGCCGTTCGCTGCGTTGGTTCCCCTGCGCTCGGGGAAGTGCAAACGCCCCGGACGGGAGTGCGTTTGCATCGGGATCGTGCGGACACACTCCCGCCCGAGTGTCCTGGAGAATTCCCTATAGGGGGTTTGGGGAGCCTCCCTCTGGAGGAGACGCCAGGGGCCCGTGGAGGTGGGCTGGCCGTGGGGCCTTCCCTCGTCGCCAAGGAGGGGTTCGGCCTGGGTCCCGGCGCGGTGCGGCTTTGGTCGGGGGTACGGTGTCCTGCTGGAGCCTGGAGTTATGTAGGGCGTGTCCCCCTACGGGGGGATTTTCGACGAAAAGTAAAAAATATTCCAAAAATGCTCCCAAAGGGACAAAAAATACTCAAAGAAATAGTCCCCATATTATTTTCTGATTATTTTTACCTAACAGCGAAGACTGATAGGTTTCCAGTGGGGTCAAAAGAGAGCATCATGACTCCTCAGGGGGGTCGGGGCGGGACCCGGGGCGAGACCCGGCGCGGCTGCCGTCGAAGCCCAAATCGCTTGGGACATCGTCGCAAAATCGCTCTTGGCGCTGCTAGAACTCCATTCCCGGGCCACATTTTGGATGCCCAGAGCCAACTGTAGGCCACTTCGTGCTCTTGGACTTCCCAGAACTCCATTCCCAGGCCACATTTTGAATGCCCGGAGCCAAGTGTAGGCCACTTCGTGGTCTTCGAGTTCCCAGAACTCCGTTCATGGACATGATTTTGAATGCCTGGAGCCAACTGTAGGCCACTTCGTGGTTTTCGAGTTCCCAGAACTCTATTCCCGGGCCACATTTTGAATGCCCGGAGCCAACTGTAGGCCACTTCGTGCTCTTCAAGTTGCCAGAACTCCATTCCTGGGCATGATTTTGAATGCCCGGAGCCAACTGTAGGCCACCTCGTGTTCTTCTAGTTCCCAGAACTCCATTCCTGGGCCACATTTTGAATGCTGAGGCAAGCTGATGCTGCGGCCGAGGCAGGCTGAGGCTGAGGCAGGCTGAGGCTGAGGCCGAGGCTGAAGGCAGACTGAGGCTGAGGCTGAAGCAGACTAAGGCTGAGGCTGAGGCAGGCTGAGGCTGAGGCTGAAGCAGGCTGATGCTGAGGAAGGCTGAGGCTGAGGCTGAGGCTGATGCAGGCTGAGGCTGAGGCAGCCTGAGGCTGAGGCCGAGGCTGAAGGCAGACTGAGGCTGAGGCTGAAGCAGGCTGAGGCTGAGGCAGAGGCCGGCTGAGGCTGAGGCTGAGGCAGGCTGATGCTGAGGCAGGCTGAGGCTGAGGCTGTGACTGTGACTGCCGTTGCCACTGCGACTGTCATCGCGAATGCGACTGCGACTGCGAGAACAGGAGAATTCTACAACTGGATTCTCATCTGGATCTTAAGGGGAATGTTTCCATATATGCTTCTACACATCGCTGTTAGGTTGCTTTGGGCGGGGATTGTTGATTATTTGTGGGAGTATTTTTCCCTAACCAAACAGCGAAGACTGATAGGTTTCTAATGGGGTCAAAAGAGCATCTGATGACTCCCCAGGGGGGTCTGGGCGGGAGCCGGACAGGCGAGGGCCGGGCTCGTTTTAAGCAAACAGTCACACACTTCGTGCTCTTCGACCTCCAGAACTCCATTCCCGGGCCACATTTTGAATGCCCGGAGCCAACTGTAGGCCACTTCGTGCTCTTCGACTTCCCAGAACTCCATTCCCGGGCCACATTTTGGATGCCCGGAGCCAACTGTAGGCCACTTCGTGCTCTTCGAGTTCCCAGAACTCCATTACCGGGCCACATTTTGAATGCCCGGAGCCAACTGTAGGCCACTTCGTGGTCTTCGAGTTCCCCGAACTCCATTCCTGGGCATGATTTTGAATGCCCGGAGCCAACTGTAGGCCACTTCGTGTTCTTCGAGTTCCCAGAACTCCATTCCCGGGCCACATTTTGAATGCTGGGGCAGGCTGATGCTGAGGCTGAGGCAGGCTGAGGCTGAGGCAGGCTGAGGCTGAGGCCGAGGCTGAAGGCAGACTGAGGCTGAGGCTGAAGCAGGCTGCGGCTGAGGCTGAGGCAGGCTGAGGCTGAGGCTGAGGCAGGCTGATGCTGAGGCAGGCTGAGGCTGGAGGCTGAGGCTGATGCAGGCTGAGGCTGAGGCTGAGGCAGGCTGAGGCTCAGGCTGAGGCTGAGGCAGGCTGATGCTGAGGCAGGCTGAGGCTGAGGCTGAGGCAGAAGCAGGCTGAGGCTCAGGCAGGCTGAGGCTGAGGC